GACGCCACAATGCACTGTACCTGGTGCCTGGTGTTTGCTCCTCCTCTCCTGTTGCTCCTCTGGCTGCAGCAGGTGAAATCCTGGGCTGCTAGGATTTGGCCAGGGACCCAGTGAGCAGCCCAGCTATTTGCTGGCCGGCGCCGGGTTTCTTTTTTTTTCTCTGGTGGCCCAGCGGGCCAGATAAATGTCTTTGGCGGGCTTTATCTGGCCCACGGGCCATAGTTTGAGGACCCCTGCTCTAGGGTGTCTGCTATCAGAAAATATATAATATTTTGGGGGTTTTGTGAAATCTTTAGGCCTAAAATTAGTGCAAAAAAATGCAAAAAAAAAACGGCTCTGGCGGCGAAAGGATTACACTTTTTTTATTAATCTTAATTAAAGTGTAGCAATGGGCAATGTATTCTGCCAATAATCAGCAGTTTTTGTTTTTTCTTGTGTGTTCCCCCAATCATAACTTGATTACCTGTTAATCCAAGCAGTAGAACTAATACACTGCTCAAAAAAATTAAAGAAACACTTTTTAATCAGAGTATAGCATGAAGTCAATGAAACTCCTGGGATATTGATCTGGTCAGTTAAGTAGCTGGGGGGGGGGGGGGGTTGTTAATCAGTTTCAGCTGGTTTGGTGTTAATGAAATTAACAACAGGTTCACTAGATGGGCAACCATGAGATGACCCCCAAAACAGGAATGGTTTTACAGGTGAAGGCCACTGACATTTTTTTCCCTACTCTTTTCTGTCTGTTTTTCACTGGTTTTGCATTTGACTAGGGTCAGTGTTACTACTGGTAGCATGAGGCGATACCTAGACCCTACAGATGCTGTACAGGCAGTCAAACTCCTCCAGGATGGCTCATCAATACGTACCATTGCCATAATGTTTGCTGTGTCTCCCACCACAGTCTCAAGAGCATGGAGGAGATTCCAGGAGAAAGGCAGTTACTCTAGGAAAGCTGATCAGGGCCCATAGAAGGTCCTTAACCCATCAGCAGGACTGGTATCTGCTCCTTTGTGCAAGGAGGAACAGGATGAGCACTGCCAGAGCCCTACAAAATGACCTCCAGCAGGCCACTGGTGTGAATGTCTCTGACCAAACAATCAGAAACAGACTTCATGAGGGTCGCCTGAGGGTCTGACATCTTCTAGTGGGCCCTTTGCTCAATGCCAGGCACCATGGCATTTGCCATTGAACACCAGAATTGGCAGTTTCGCCAATGGTGCCCTGTGCTTTTCACAGATGAGAGCAGGTTCACCCTGAGCACATGTGACAGACATGAAAGGGTCTGGAGAAGCCATGGAGAATGTTATGCTGCCTGTAACATCATTCAGCATGACTGTTTTGGTGGTGGGTCAGTGATGGTCTGGGAAGGCATATCCATGGAGGGAGGCATAGACCTCTACAGGCTAGACAATGGTACCCTGACTGCCATTAGGTATTGGGATGAAATCCTAGGACCGATTGTCATATCCTACGCTGGTGTAGTAGGTCTTGGGTTCCTCCTAGTGCACAACAATGCCCAGCCTCATGTAGCGAGAGTATGCAGGCAGTTCCTGGAGGATAAAGGAACTTTGTGTGGGGGCCATTGAATGGCCCCCACGCTCGCCTGACTTAACTCCAATAGAACACCTCACTGTAAAGGGGGTTCATTGATGCCCTGGTCCAGATCTGGGAGGAAATACCCCAGGAAACCATCTGTCATATCAATAGGAGCATGTTCTGACACTGTCAGGCATGCATACAAGCACTTGGGGGCCATAAAAACTACTGATGACCATTTTGAGTTGCTGCAATGAAATTTCAGCAAAATGGACTAGCCTGCTGCATTATTTTTTCACTTTGATTTTGGGGTGTCTTTGAAATCAGTCCTCTGTAGGTTGATAATTTTCATTTCTATCAAGTGATGGGGCATCCTTGCATTCCTAACACATTACCCAGTCCATATCAGTATAGATATCCAGCATGATTTTTTTCCCCATTGAGATCTGATGTGCTTTCAAAGTGTCCCTTTATTTTTATTAAGCATTGTAGTTTTCCATTTTCATTAACTGTCCAGCAACTGTTTGATAGGGGTGTTTACCGCAGTCAACTTTCTTTCATATGGTTTAACCCCTTTTTCAAAAGAAAGTTAAATGAATGTTGCTGTAACTTCTTAAGTACTCTTATCTTAAATTAGGTTTTAATTGTATTTTCTCTTAAGGTCTTAAGAATCTAAGACTACTCTGCTATGGAATTTCACTGAAGAATACACAGCACTGTCATGTTATTACAGGAGGCAAAATAATAACTCATCTACTGGCAGGATCAACAGGCAATAGTACTATGTTGCAGGAGTGGCTCAGAAGAACTGCTGTGTTAAAGAAGACGATATTATAAAAAAACAAACATACATACTTACGTAACTCCTTCAGCATTGAACCAATGCTGCAAGATGTCCCTCACAGGCTCTAAGCCTGAGAACTGAGCAATCACATCGTATTCATTATGTAGAAACAATTTGTTTGCGGAATTATTTTCGTGTGTTTAGCATTCATTTCGTATATTCATTGGTCTCGGCGAATTCAGAAAATTTTGCAATTTTTCTGAAAGATTGCTATATATTATGGAATTGATCTGATTCAATATTTTCGGATGCTGTCCAGCTCGGCAAGAGAAATGGCATGAGCTGACTGGACAATCTTGACTGGAGTCAGTGGCATCCAAATTAACGACTTGAACAAAATTCAGATCCATTCACTATTCAAATCCAAATTATTAAACGAATTTGAAAATTTTATTAATTTCTTCATGGGCCCAAACTATTATCACATCATGTGATGTCACCTGAATTAAATGAATTAAATGAATGCATTCGCAATTTTTTATAACTTTTTTTGAAAAAAAAAAAACTAAGCCATTTGTTGAAATTTTTAACGAAAATTAAATTTTCATCTGAAAAACAAATCAAAACTAACCAAATCGCACATATTTACTGATCACTCACCCCTGCCCCCTCTCCTGGAGCACCAGGCAGGAAAGGGGTCGGGGTCGGCTGGCTCAGCCTCTCAGCAGATTGCTAAGAGGGTGAACCAGCTGTCTGTAATGCATCTGGGTGGATCCCAACATTACTAGTCTGGATCTCTCCAGAGTCTGGAGTGGGTCTGTGATGTCAGCAGATGTTAGCCCGTTGTTGGCTGATTGTGGGTCACAGGAGAGCACAAGTAAGGGCACTTCTGTGACCCACATTAGAAGTATGGCCAAAAAAGCTTTGGCCATACTTCTCTTTTAATTATAGTGCCAGTCTACATCATATATGTCATATTTTATTTTGGCCATAGTTCCACTTTCATCTTACAATGCCCATCAAATGTTGCAAATGTTACAACCAAACTGTTATAAACTGTGCTAAACAGATAGGGTAGCACAGTGGCTAAATGGTTAGCATTTACTCCTGGCAGTACTAGGGTCGCTGGTTCAAATCCCAATCATAGCACTACCTGCCGAGTTTGCATTTTCTCCCTGTGCCTGCGTGAGTTTCCTCCGTGTACTCTGGTTTCCTCCGACACTCCAAAGACATGGTAGGTTAATTGGATCTTGTCTAAATTGGCCCTAGTATGTGTATGTATGGATGTAAGTTAGAGACCTTAGATTGTATGCTCCTTGAGGGTTAGGGACTCATTTACAGTATATGTACAATATATATATAAAGCACTGCATAAATTGATGGTACTATATATAAGTACCTGTAATAAATAAATGGAAGAAATTATCTTACTCAACGGATGATTAAAATTGAAAAATAGTCTATTTAAGAAACAAAATATTGATGAAATCAGTTAGGATTATTTACAAAAACTATACCTGCCAAGAATTTCTTTCTGCTAGCAGTGAAGAGATAGAAGAAATTTTAGGTGGACAACTCAAGTCGTCTCAGCATTTACAAGTAATGTTACAGCAAGTAATGTTGCAAGCTGCATGTGTGTTGCAAATTTCCTAAACCACAACAGCTGCATTTGCTATATTTAATTGACACTTTAACTCATTACCTTTTCCTAATTTGGCAAAAATGATTAAATTTTTACTGACAAAATTTGCAAGTTTACATTTGTAAATTTGTAATTCCTGTTATGCATAGAGCTGAAATCCTTAAATGAACAGACGTTTAAAAAAAAAAAAAAAATCTTTATTTTATTTTGTGACATCCCTGTATAATTTACATACCCATCATTTTGCCAGTAAACAATTTGCTTGGCTATTAACACATCACTAACAAGCCACTAGCCAATATCTTGACACAAGATGTAATTGAGGCACTTCAGCTATGGGTATTTGCTTGATGATCCTGTGCTAAGAATATAACATATATCAAAATGACTTGTTTAACTAATGTTCCTGCTCTGGCATTGTCCCCATGTTTGTAGGTGGCCATTATTATCTGACATCTGTCCCATTGTTTACATTAAATGAAATGTACAGTCAGCCCAAATCCCAGTAAACAGGTGCCCACAACAATTAAAGTCAACACTAGTCACACTAATGAGAACTCACTTTGGCAGCCAGAAAAAAAAGTCTTTTTAAAGCTGGACTCTAGTGTATTAACACTGTTTATATAATGTTCTTAAAATGAACTTACACCAAGGATCCATATTTATAAAGCTGATTTAAAATATGGTGTTATTAAAGCGTATGTAAACCCTAACAATTCATTTCTCTTATTTGTTCCCTTTTAGTCTGTTAAATATAGAATTGACAGAGTCTTGTTTTATCTGTACCATAAGTATATTAAAAAAAAAACCTGTTGATGCATTCAGAAAACCAATAAGCTGATGTCCTATATGAAACAAAATAAATCAATGTTGCGCTGCTCCTAATTACCACGTGAACCACACAGTGATCATATAAAGGTCATCTCACTATAATGCATAAAGTGCTCCTCTATCAAACTCATGGTGAAATAAAATCAAAAGATGCAGCAAAACATTATAATATACATCAAGTAAGTACGTATCCAGGGGCGGACTTACCATTTGAGCACTCGGGCACTGCCCGAGGGCCCGGGGTCAGTAGGGGGCCCCATGAAATGCCTCTGGTACCTTTTATAGGCTTTTTTTGGGTGTGCTTTGAGTGTGGGCAAGGACATAGGGGCCCTATGATCCCCTATTGCCTGGGGGCCCCATGAGTTGTCAGTCCGTCCCTGTACGTATCATAACAAATAGGTATACCATATGTGTACACGAACAATACTATAAAACTGTATTAGTAGTCCACCAATGCAAACTAAACAAAAACCAAAATAATATAAAGAGTGAACTAATACTTATAACGTGGCTCCTCCGTAGTTAGTGTACAGTCAGTTGGTGTTGTCCGGCAGGTTCACAAAGTGGAAATATAGGCAAAATAATCCTTAAAAAAGGGGAAATTGATACAGCCACAACATCTACTGCTGGTAAGCTACAATATATCATTTTTTTGTCCTTGGGTTTAGATGCACTTGAAATAGGTAAGGATTCAACATGTTTTCATACTCATCTGTTTGCATAGTGAAAAAAATGACATCTCTAAATTATGACACAACAATATATTATTTTGATAATTATATGTCTGATTTGCCTACATATCGCTTATACAAATGTATATTAATGCATTCTAGAAAAATGTAAAATGTTTGAGTGTTGTATTTTTTTCTCATGTGCTGGGCTTTTATTAACTCCCTTGGCGCCTGCGCTTCCCGGCCCTTTAAGGGGTTTCTAACACCGGGAGTTAGGGCTTAAGGTCATGTGATTTCCGTGATTGGCTTTCACAGCAGTCACATAATCGGATATCTCCCGATTGCAAGTAGCGAACGGGAGCTTTCAGTGAGGTACCGGTAAGTGTGCTCGCAGGGTGCATGCTCTTGGCACATGCTTGTTTACATCAGGTACACAAATGTGCAGCCTCTTGGGTTCTTGGGGATTCCTAGAGGCTGCATATTTGCATACTGCTGGTGCCAAGGAGTTAATGTATACAGGATCTGAAGTGTCCATTGTCCAGATAGGACCCAAAATAAATCTACTTAAAGCTGAGCTCAAAGTTTAATGTCCCTTTAAATAGTTTGTGTGGGACAAGCTGTCCCAAAATGAACTATTTACTGCACTAACAGGTGCGCTTGCTGGGCATACTATATTAACTTTATATAGCCTCAGTACTGTGTGTGGGCAGTGGGACAGAGACTTTCCTTCTCACTCCCGAAAAACAAAATCGAGTCATGCTGAGTGCCGCTCAGCTCATTCCCAGGAAGCTTTCCATTGTAGGAATAAATACAAAGCTTCCTCTAACTGGCTGAGATGGAGATCATGACATCATCAGTCCTCCTCTTTGCCATAACCAATCAGGAAGCTTTAAGCAAAAAAAAAAAAAAGAGAATAATATAGTGGTTTTCAAATGTCTTAGATAAAACAGATGAATAAAATGTAAAAGTGCCTCTCTGATTTTTTGGGATTTAGTTTTTACTTTGCTACTGGGTCCTGATTTTTCTTCTTGAGTAAATATGAACTATTTCCACTCTGTCTCCGATGAAAATGTTCTTATAGGTAGCCTTAATTGATAGTGGAATTTCTGTTAGCAGGAGTTTAAAATGGATCTATACCCAAAACTTTTTTTTTAGTTTTGCATAAAGTAGGGAAGGATAAGAATCCCTGCTGGCTTTCATTTCTGTCAGAGGCTCCATTGGTGAGATTCCCTCACTATTAAATATGCTGTCCGCATAACATTGTGAGGGGATTTCCCTCTAACAGCAACACAAACAAGTAAAAAAAAAATGTATCATTGTCTGTTTCCCCTGTTACAGATTTTCCCTCACATCCTGCCTAATGCATGTTTGTCCCCAGGACAGAAACTGGTGTGAGATCTCTCTAATGGAACCCCAGATAGCAAAAAAACCTGACACAAATTCTAAAGCAGGGTCTACACGTAGATTTCCCCAACTGCACTCTTGTATTCCGACAACAGGGACCCCTTTCCCTGTCAGAATACACGGATCAGTGATGCAGCCATTGGCTGCAAGCACTGATGAAATCCTGATTTTCCAGCAGGACCGTTTGACAAAAGCCAGCCGTTAGACTGGCTTCTGTTGAACAGAGAGGAGTACACAAGTACTGTAATTCCGTACAGGGCTTAACTTTTCCCCATTCCATGGGAATCTGGTTATCAGCCCTTGGCAAGACATAACATATTTAAAATATGACACAGGATTACTTAAAGCGGAATTTCACTCTCTCAATCAACATTGATTAATTTAATCTTTATGCTGCTAGGATTAGTAAATAGATAGGAAAGTATATCAGATTTACTTGTTTTGATTTTTTTAATGTTTCTTCAGTTTCTTCTGGGTTTCGATACCTAGGCAAAATATTTCATACATTCTTTAGAAGTAGAGGAGGGGCTTTCTCAGCTAAGCACTCCCTCCTGTCTGCATGCCTGAGCTAAGAATAGATGGATTCCAGGAAGTAAATTCAACATGTATCATCTGCCCTTACTCAAGATGGTCACAACCAGAAATGCTAGGGAGGTGTTTTTCAATGTGATTTCTCAGCAAAAGCTGAGCATAAAGCACGGATTCATGGATGGATGAGTGAGTTTGCCTTGAATATTAAAAATGAATTAAATAGCATTCTTGGTTTCTGGTGCTCAAACTCAGTGAAGTTCCACTTTAAGTAGATTTCAAAGACATGCTAGTAAACCAATTTTTTTAAATGCCAGTAAACAGGCAAACAATATTTGTGATGGAGGCCATATCTGACATTACGGGACCAATGGTGAAGTTTGGCTAGCAGGAGAGAAAAAGAGGAAGTTATGTGAATATGACAAAGACAACACTGGATACTGTGTAAGTATGCCATAATTAGAAATAAAATAATAGGTAAGTAACACATTAAAATTCATGAGACTTTTTTTTTTAGAAATATGTTAAGTAAGAAACTTTGAAGTTCTTGTTCTCTTTTCCTTAAGCTACCTTTGTCTAATCATAGCTACAGGACTTTTAAAGTAGAATCTTCAAGGGAGCGAAATGTTAATAAGTTAAATTGTTGCTAACAAATGAGCATTTCCTACCTGACAAAGTATCTTCATCCAGGAATATATCTATGTCTGCTTCTACTATCTAATTTGAGACTCGAGAAAATGTGTAGTTACATATTAATGAACAGAGAAAAATGGCAAAAATGAGGAATATATATTTCATTCACTATAACAAAGATACTACTTTATTCTTCTATATAGTGTCTGCTACCCTGAAAATCTCACTTAGTCAAATGCAGCCATCTATCATAGCAGTGCCTCCAGCACTCAGCACTGTGCCAGTGATTACATGTCTTTTCCAACTACTGACTTCTGTGCAGATGTTTAAATCGCTAAGAACTGTAATATACTATAGAGTGGAAAAAAATGGGACATAATTAACATAATATTTGCAGATAAAGTTAAAAAATCAAAGTTTAACCACAGAAAAGAACACATTCAGTGGATAAATGGGGTAGCATGGTTGGTAAATTTCATATATTTCAACTTGTTGGGAGGCACACATGTTTCCCACCACTTGATAACTTTAGTTTTATGGGAACATATCTTATGAGTTCCTGGTTTGCTGCTACCATGGGTTTGAGGCAAATCCTGCAGTAATCCTGGTGAATTTATGTGCAGTTTTGCCCAAGAGAATTTTTTTAAAACCATAATGCACTGCATGGCCTTTGAGCTATGGCCAGGGGGCTTAGAAAGGCCAACAAGGGGGCTTTTGGTTAAGCCAGCTTCCTCCTATAAATGAGTACTGTATTGTCAGTGAATTAGAAGCTGTAGTATGGACAACAAGGAGAAAGTTGACAAACTGCATATGGGAGTATAGGATTATTTGGGAAACTGTAATTCTGATTGCTGGGTCTTAAGGCAATCAACTCCCTTGCTGTCTTTTTTTCTTACTATTAGGGCCTTTTTGTCTTTCAAATTATTCTGTGATTGATTAAAGGTCAGCGATCAATTTTAATTGCTGTCCTGACTATAGCAAACTTTTTCTGCTGCAAAACGTCCCTTAAATGGGGGGAGGGTGTTTAATGAGATTGTATTTTGTGGTTGTCATTTACTTAATGGATGTATTTTTTATTTGTGTTGATAGAGCCTAAATTTTAGGTTAAACTGCTTTTTTTAAGTAAGTTTTTAGGGATGGTATTTTTGGTTTTATGGTTTTTGTAGGTTTTTTTATTTAAATTTCTTGTTGTTAAAACCTTTTTTAAGTTTTGGGTGCTCAAAGCAGAACATTCACTGGTTACTAAATAAGTGAATAAGACAGCATATAAAATGTTATAGTGGCGCTAAATTAATAGTGATGAGGTGATATAGTGAGTGCCACACAATACAATGTGAATAAATCAATAAAATGATAACAGTGATTTACTGTGATTACAAAAATTATATATAATAAGCCAAAGTCCACAGAAATTGTTCTTCCTTCTTTGGAACCCACCACGTGCTGTCTAATAATAACCAGGTGCCTCAAACTGTCCCCCACATGGATGTGCACTCACTAATAGCTGTTGCCTCCCACTTTCGTGGTTGGCAAAACAGGCTTCAAAGAATAATTCTCCAAATATAAGCGGATTATAACCAATGGGGTAAAACCATCATGGAGGTATAATGGTTCAAACTATTAAGGATTCCATATATTCCAATGCTTATGTATAATACAAGCATGATATTCCTCTTTCCCATGATCACCATGTAAAACAAAAAGCAGAGAGGTGCTCCAATGGTGTAGTATTAAAACCAAGATCCTTTATTAATCCAAATGGACATTACTCAAAAGCAAGCAGTAGTAAATAGCCCAGTATCATATACTGAATAAGCCTGGAGTGACAGAAGACCGAGGGTGCTCTCACCACCTCCTGATTAGTGTTCACTGAGGCTGTCGCGTCACTTCCAATTCCGGTCAACGTCACTTCCAGTCGCCGCACCTTCACACCCTGATGCTTTTCGTCACTTCCAGCTCACTCATAGGGGCCCCATGAGTAAGTCGGAAGTGACAAAACGCATCAGATTGTGATGGTGCGGCGACCAGAAGTGATGTTGATCAGATCTGGAAGTGACGCAACGGCGTCAGTGAATACTAATCCGGAGGTGGTGAACTTCAGTGGTATTCTCCTCCACAAGATTCACTGAACCCTTAGCAAATCAGGCCCAGGCAGAGTCACTCTTTACTACAGTTCAGCATATTTGACAAAAATAACTACCTGCCACTAAGTCTACAATGCCTTCACCATGTTTGT